TCTGGCAGAAGCAAAATTAACTACAGGAGTTGTTCATGTAATTCAACAGAACCTATTTAACACCTTCTCTGGAAATCACATTATCTAGCCCTAGAGCTATTTAAGACTTCCGAGCATTTAAAAAAAGAAATCGAGACAAAGCAACCAAATTTCAAGGGTGCTCCAACAATTATTCTTAGACTGGACAGAAAATGAACTGGTACTTTAAAAGGGTTTTCAAGTAAAACTTTAACAGTCAGGACTGCTTTAGACCCAAACCACAATTCAGTGGCTGACTTTTCTGGATTTACCTGCAGCCTCCAAGGAGACTGTTGGGTTTTTTTTAATGTGCTATAATCAAAGGAAACAAACAAAAAAAAAAAAAAGGTGTAGCAAACAGCACCCTCTTAACCATACTGAAACCAATCTGAGTCATCTTCTCGGGAAACTGTGGACAGAAACACTGAAGACTTTATGTTCACAGAAGCTGTTGCACATTGCTTTTCTACTGCTGTATCTGCACTGCCTTTTGCATCTGCAACCCAGTTCTAATAGAACCAATGCACAGGATATAAAATTTATAGACTGAGTTAAACTGCCAGCTTCATCTCTGCCCATTTAACTCAAACGCACAGTTCAGGTGGGCTATATACAACCTGTGTATATACAACCTGTACATGCTTGTGTACTCATAGATGCACAGATAAATACACACTCCTCACTGAGATTACAATGGCACTATTACTTTGGCCGCATCCTGTGGAAAAGTTCAAAAACATCAACCTTCCAGAAATTCAATTTCATTTCATGATAGAAAGATCTGGATGGCAAAAAAAAAAAAAAAAAAAAAAAAAAGCTGCAGACAGCTTTGTTGAGACAATTCCTAGGCTCCAACCCATCTTCCAGTGCCAGCTGCACTGTAATTTTCAAGGGACAAAAGACTGCCAGGAGAAGAGTAAAGTTGCTGTAGGTGCAGCTATTGAGCAATAGCCTTATGTAAGACTGTGCACTTAGGACAACTGAACCACTGCTTTACTCCTGATACCCAGTAAGAGTGACTCAGCCCAAAGTGCAAAAAACTTTTCACCCTAAAGCTAAATGGAAATTCTTGTCCTTAAAATAACACAGCAGTTTTGATAATATCTGTTATCAAGCTGCCCTGTGGGTCTGTAAGTGAAAATTTAATACAGAAAGCCCGCTGCTGATACTAAATTGAGCACACATTTTTGCTATTTCTTGTTCACTGTTCATTAAGGAATAACACAGAAAAGAATTACAAAAATATGCAACTGCCTGGAAGGCAGCGTAAAACTTTTTCTGTAAGGTGCTACTCACATTGCAAGCTAAATCCACAATTAACAAATACCAGGCTGTTAGAATAGCTTAGCACTTCTGTCCCAGTCACTTAGCAAACTCTGTGGAACAGAAGCTAATTCATCTCAAAAGTCTTACAAGAAATGGGTTATGAATTTTCCTAAGTAAAAGCTGTCACATCAACTAGTTACTAATTGATGTTTACTACCCTCAGCACTGCAAAGGACTCAAAGTTATGATCTGGGCTACAATCTCATGTTGGTCTTAAGGTTTTTGTCTCCTCTTTGGAGATTTACTCTGAAAATACAGTAAGCACATATCCTAAACTGTTGAGGGAATTATGAGAATATTGAGGTAGAGAGCATCCTTTTATTCCCTCTCCTGTCTGAGGAAAGTGTTAGAAGATCACTGTTCTAGCAATGCTACTGTGCATTCCTGTAGTTTAAAACAGAGTAACAAATATTCAAGTATGTAAGCTACTGTTAAATCACAAAAAAATCCAGAAACCATGTATCCAGTGGGAAACAAAATTTTGATCCACCTATAAATAAATACATGCTAGCACTGAGCCTGTAACCAATTCAAGAGCTACCTACCAAACATGAAGTGATAAATTCTAACTTACATGAAATCTGTTTGGTTTCTACTCAATGTAAACATCTGTGTTGAAAATAATTAGTGGAATAACTGAAGAACAAATTTCTTAATACACAGAAGAAACTACATGCTGCAGCATTTCATATGTGTATGATCCTTTACAGTTGGAAGAGTCCTAGGACAAGGTAATGTCTGAAAAACTGACATTCTTTAGAGCTATATTGTAATTAAAAAGTTATGAAAAACTACTTTTCCAAAAGTGTTAATTTTAACAGCAAAATTCTTAATCATGTCAGATTGTTGCAGGCATTTAGCATCCTCATAAAACCACCTTAGTAAGAAGCTCCACATGCAGTAAGGCCACCTCCATTTTGATTTGTTAGAACAGTTATACATTGGCACAGGGAAATTAAAATACAGGAGAACACAGACTACAGCAAAGCTTGAAAAGAAAAAGCTTAGAGATACACGGGTCACATTAAGGTCTTCCTCGCTCCTAAGTCGGCCTCTCCTGCTGCTCACTCATGCAGGGAGATCATAATTTTGTGGCTGAGATATTTCCACGGCAACACTGGTGACAGTGATGTCACAAATTCAGTCCTGACATAGCTTCAGGATCAAGTACAAGGAGCAGATGGGATGCGAGGGAGAAAGCCCTATTTAAACACAAATCTCTTTCATAAGAAAGAGGCATGAGCAAAGAACCAGGTGAATGGATCATGTTTTCAAGTATGATATATTCAAAAGATTATCCTAGCATGAAAATCTATTTAAAGGCAAGACCTACAATACAGGGTAACTGTCAAATTTGTTAGGCCTTATAATAAACCAACCTTGAAAGCTCCCTGTTTTGCATGACAAGTCCTGTGCTCCATTTCTAAAGTGGCAGTGAAGACAATACACTTTTGTCCCTCGTGAATTTCCTTTAGATAACTTTAACATTCAGATATATTAATTTGATACATCACTGTGCTCATAATACCATATGTAAATATGATGTCAAGCCCTCACTGGAGTGAGTTTGTTATCTGAATTAGATATGATATGAAAGACATTAAAACAAATCCCAGATGGGTCACCCAGTACAACAGGATGGTAACTGGAATATTCAGCCAGCACTGTCAGATTGGCAAAAGGGGACTGTACTTTGGTCCTGATCTGGGGATGCATGCAAGAATTAACACAAGCTCCAGGCCAGCTAAAGACCCCTAAGCCCCTCACCAGTTACACACTGCAGATTCCAAAAAATTACTGGTATCAAACTTCCTTCCTATCTTTGGATCCCATGAACCAAGAGCAACTGAACCCACAGAACGTAGAAGCGATTGTGACAAAAAGGAGAATAGCAGAGAATGCAACCACAATATAGTCACAAACACAGTCCCCACATTAACTCGTGTCACAGTGCAAGGAGACATACAGATTTCTTAAAGATGCTTCTCTCCACAAGGACAAGTGATAAACAGCAAAACTAACAAGCAAGAGAGACAAAAGGGAAGCGCCTATGACCAAAATTCAGGTGTAGGCAATCATTCACAGAGCTGCACACAATGAGAAGTGGTTTCTTATGGCAGCAGTGGCAGAAAGATAGAAAAGAAAAATGAGAAATCAAACAGAAGATAAAAGGAATTAAAAGGATATGGGTTCATGTTCTGATCACAGAAGGAAAAAGCCCACACTTTTCAAGATTTCAAGATGAAGACCTGGAACAGTCTAGCTCTCAGGGGGGAAAGGAAGAAAGGGAATAAAATCTGCAGCCTGAAGCTGGGCCTAAGCCAAGACATGAACAGGCCCCCAGGAAGGGATTTTGGCTGGGGGCAAAGACTAAAAGCACAATGCAAGGAGGAGCAAATCCAAAGTCAAGTAGCAAAGCAGCGTTCCCAGACATCATCTCTGAAATGACTAAGGCAAAAACTGCAAAAGGGAGAGAAAAGTAGGCAGAGTGCCATGTGATCCAAGCCACAACACTGATCATAGCTAGCAAAATCTACCTGATTTGCCAAACTAGGACAATACCAACAGCAAATCAAAAAAGCAGGCAATAAACTGGAGGATGCTGGCTGGTAACAAAAATTATTAAAAGACCTGAAGACCTATGTTTGTTTAGTTTCAACAAAAATGGGTTTTTTTCCAAACACATTAGGCACATTCCTATGACTCACACTAACAGAAACACTCTCTGAAATATAAAAAAAAAGGAATAGTTTGGGGCTATAAACTTCTATAGGCCTCTTACTTGTTAAAGTAGTAAACTCTGGAAACAGTATCTATTAGCACAGTAGGACAAGAAATACAGTCTATTTTAAGATGTAGTTTATTGTTTTTATAGTTGTGATTAAGACACAGCTGTCACAGACTAACATGACTACAATACAACCCCGACAAGACTCCTCCTCTCCCTTTGCTTTTGTAAGGCCAGCAGCCTCGGATGAGAACATGAACAGAGTTCCCCCAGTGGACTTTCAAGAGGTCACTTTCATTTCAGTACTGGAAAGCCCATCTTGTTTTTACCCAAGAAGAAAAAAAAAGCCTCTCTCAGACAACTCTTGCACTACTACGTCTCTTTTACCTCGTGTTTATAGAGATGTGAAAGTGACGGCTGATACAAGCTCAAGGCAGCTCTCATTGCTGTTTGTCTGCTGTAGCAAACCAAGGCAGCTGCCAAACATGAGCTACAAAGAAAGTCTCTTCCTATTGCTTTTCAGAAAATAACTTACTTTCTCTCTATCACACTGATCGAAATTAACATTCCCCTGATAGACAGAAGTCAACTGTTCTTCTAAAATGAAATCTTACACAAAATCAACATTTTAAGAGCAGAAGATACATTTCAAGTATACAAGTAGATCAAGTATCAAGAAGATACATTTGCAAATATGCCATGGAGAACAAAAATATTTTTACAACAGCTAAAAGGAAAACATAACAAAACCCCACAATAACTACAAAGTAACAGATTTTTTAAAAGCAATAAAATAATCATACACACATTCTAACACATTCTCAATCCAAAAGCAATTCAAAGTATAAAATAACACTAGATTGAGATGCTAAGTATCTTTTTCCAGCTCTCATTTCTCTATATAAATATCATAGGCAAAGTGTATTACCTTCGTTTTCTGAAGCTTGGCATTTTACTTTCAGTACCAAATCAAAGGTACGCTCCGGATTTTCCCTAGAAGAAACAAACACAACCAATTATGATATACTTATTTCTTATTTTTACTTTTCTATCCTTTTCATTATTTTTGTAGAATAATAAATAGAATTAAAGCATCATTAAAACAAAATTATTACTCAGATTAGTTCTAAGGAAGAACCAAAAAGTCACATTTCCCTATACAGCCTTAAGAAAGGAATAAATAAGATAAACAAGCTAAACTGTGTGATTTAGTTACATTATATTGTGACTGCCTTATATATCAAATGACTTTTAAGTCACTCCACCTTACCTCATCTAAGAGTTGAGAAAAAGAGCTACTAAGCTCCTTATCAATCAATCAATCAATTTGCAACATTAATGGAGTCGCAAGCAGCCTTTTCTAGAGCTATGCCTTATTTCTACTAAGTAAGAAGACCTAGTATAAGTCTTAGACGATCATTAGACTTCCATTGTAATTCCCTGTGTTTAGCGCTATCCTTTAAATGCACCTGATTACCACCCCAAGGCCGAGAATCGTTTGGCTTCCTCTTTCACCAGCTATTGATCGCCAGCTGGGCCTCTAAAGGCTGAACCTCAGGCGTGATTCACTGCGAGAGCCAACACGTGTGCACGGAGTGGGGATGGCCACAAGCCCGAGGCAGCCAGGAACACGGAGCCTCCCTATCTGCAGCAGCCATCCAGGGCAGCTGCGTGTGACGGCCGGCGCCTCTTCCACCTGATGATAATAACAAACTGCATGTGCCAACAGCAATTAACACTCAACCTAATTCCAAACTACATATTCATTGAAACGGGCCTAAATGCCATTACCATGCCATCCACCCCCTCTTGCCTACCAAGCACACTGCTATTTATATTAAAAACAAGCGGTATAACCGCACCCGTATCAATTATCTATTTAACCACATAAAAGGCTCACACGGGAACTCCTGTCTTGTGTAACACTCCCTCTGAAATCAGCTGGAGACTTAGGCACAGGGGAAAAAAAAAAAAAATTTGGTTCCAGGTTTCTAGAATGCTTCACATAAAGCATACAGCAAATTAAAACATTGTTGTTTCTTTAAATAAAGTATTGAATGAAATCCAAAGGCTGAGCCAGGGAAAAACTCAGCTGTCACAGATTAATTGATTCAGTGCATGCTTTCACTGACCTCAGCACCATCATCAATTGAGATACGCAATTATAGTCTAATTCAGATCATGAAGACATAACCTGCCCATATCACACTCTCTCCTTGCATTTTAAAGCATTTTGTTGGGGAAATCCTTTATCTACTGATCCTGCGTACAGGAGATGAAATTCTGGTCTGAGTTACAACAGCGTAAATCCAGGACATTGGCGATTTACTCTGGTGTTAAACTGTCCATTGTTCCTCTTGCTGCTGAGCAGGTTCAGAATGAAACTGATAGGGCTGTGCTTGGTTGAGTCACCTAGAAAACCGAACCACAAAAATGCTTCACTTAAAAGAAATGACATCTCCCCATGACATTGCTCCAGCTTAGGCCTTCGGTTTATCCTCTCAGGTTGCAGTTTCTTAATGTCAATCAGTTTGTGTTACAATCACCAAATGAGTCCTTCTAGCTCAACTCCTAGATGAGTTACACTCAAAAAAGGTCTTTGAAGTAACACTGCCTTCTGTCTTTCACTGTAGTACTCTAAAACTGCTTTTGCAGGAAAATGCTTCTAAGTTTACTCTTCACATCCCACTACGCTCAGAAGTGTCAAAAATGTGTCAAACTAATCTGAGAATTGTGAGCCTGTCTCTCGTCTCTGGTTTCCCTGCCAGCTCCGCGGTGCCAGCCTGCTCAGCGCGTATAGACACGGAGCTGTTTGTCAATTGCCGAAACCCGCGTGTAACATCTTGTCACTTTCAATGTCACCAGAGCAGGCGGCCGCTGCCGGAGGGCAGCCTGGACCCCAAACACCCGAAGAACCTCTTCTGCACCTGCCACGCCGAAATGACAGAAGGGTGGTCTGCAACCACCATGGCCATAAGCTAAAACACAAGGAGTTTCACCTGAACGTGAGGAACAACTTTACACTGAGGGCGGAAGAGCACTGAACCGGCTGCCCAAGAATGGTCATTGAATCTTCCCCTGGAGACGCTCCAAACCCACCTGGAAGCGTTCCTGTGTCACCTGTCTACATGACCCTGCCTTGATCTGCACAGCTCCCTCCCAACCCTGACAATCTGTGATCTCCTAAAGGGATGTCTGTAACAGCCTCGGCCCACTGCGGGCAGCTCTGCTGGGCCCGGCGGCCTCGGCACCGCGCTGCCACCCCCGCACAGGCCCCGCTCACCGGCCACAGCCCGACCGGCGCCGGGGCCTCTGCACGGCCGGGCCGGCGGCTGCGGAGCGCGTCCCCCCCGCCGCTGTGGACGGGCGATCCGGGCGCTCCCGCCGGGTGGGCTCCCCCTCCTCCCGTCCCCGCCCGCCGCACGCCGGGCCCGGCGGACCGGGGCTGCCAACGGGGCCTGCTCGCCGCCTGTCCGCCGGCCGCCCGCGGAGCGCTGGGCGGCGGGGGCGGCTCAGCGCCGCGGCGGGCGGCGGCCCATGGCTGCTCCGCTCCGCTCCCCCGGCTCGGGCCGCGACTGCGGCGGAGCGCGGCACCGCCTCCTCCCCCGTCTCTCAGTTCCTGTTGCAGCCGCTCCGGCACCTTCTGGGAACCAGGAAGCTCCGCGGCGGCCCGGGGAGCCGCCGGGGCTGGTGTCACCTGAGGCCGTGCCCTCCGCGGCAGGTGCGCTGCGGAGCCCGCCCGAGGCCCGGCAGGTGGGCCGGGGCAGCGCGCGGGACCGTCATGTGTCACCTCACGGGCACCTGCACCCGCTGCTAAAGGCGCTCAGAGCATGGGTCCGGCTCGTGTGTGCCCTGACACATCGTAGCAGCTCTTTATGCGCAGCAGGAAAGGAGAGCTTTTCGTACTGAAGGTCATAAATGTTAATTTAACCTGCTGTAATCTGCTTAGCTTTTTGTTTTATCGAGCGCTAAACAAGCACTATCCGAAACTGCTGAAGAGCTGGTGCAGCAGGGACGGCTGGAGCAAACCCACCGTCCTGTAAACACACGTAAAAAGCTTTCAATCTTCGAGTGCTTCCCTCGAGTTTGGAAAGGAAATAAAAATAACACCGTCCTTGAGAGGCTTCCAAGTCTCATTCATCTGAGAGGCACTGAGCAGCCAAATTCCCACCTACACCAAGTTTCCCTCACCAACATAGTAACACTGTAATGAAAAAGTGCATAAAATAGATTCTGTGGTACTGGGCCAAAGAAAAAACGTCATTCTTTTCACTCTTCCTCCAGAAGCTAATCATCATATCAACAGTTGAAAAGATGAAAAAAATTCAAGCCAATTATATATTAAACACATAAAACAGCATTAGTGCATTACTGGGGCTGAAAAATCAAATATTCAAAAGTCAGGAAATTACAAATATTAACTTCTCCAAACCAATATTGTTTTGGCTTCATTGCACAGCCTACACAACTCACAGGACATAGATTAACTAATAATAAACCATATAGATGTGCAACAAAAAGAACTGAATGTTGTAGCAGTAACCTTAGCTTGGGGATTGTCTTGGGTTTCAAGTACTTGCTTTCCCAGTCATCGTTCTGTGGTAATTTTTGGCTGTGTTTTAGCAGCCAGTATTTGCAACTCCCACTGAAGTAAATGAAATTGCTTGGGGCTTTTTATCCTTGACATATAACAAAGCACTTCATGTAGCTCAGGGGTTTTTTAGGGAAAAAAAAAAAATTAAATGTGGATTTTTGTGTACCATGAGAGGCCCTCACAGCAGGGAGCATTAATTCACCCTCTGTTAAATTGAACTTCTCTGGTGGGATCAGTCTGGACTAAAGAGCTGGGAGAGAAGGGAGCAGTGCTCGTGTCTGCTCTACAAGGGGATGGGAAGAGCAAGGCATCCAGCACCCGGGGATGTTACAGAGCCAAAAGGAGAAGAAGCACACGGAGGAGGATGTGGGGCACAACCACAGTCATATCTGTACCTCTGTCTTTCTGCCTGCCTCCCTTCTGCCCTCCATCTCTCCCCCCAGACCTACTGCAAAGCACAGAGAATTTGAAAGTCTCTTCTGAAAAAAAAATGGCCAGTACCTTACTAAGATTGAATTTGGATCAGACCATTATCCAAATATTGAGACATTTTAATTGTGGAAAACTTCCATTTTAGGTGTACAATAAAGAAGAAAAACAAAAAAAAACCCCAACACCCCACCTCCAAAAAACCCCAGGATTTCAGTAAATCTGTATTTTGAATTACAATAAATATTTTATAAGTCTAGTGTATGTTTATTTCTCTCTTCTCTTAAGCTGCTGATGCTTGCCACTTTTGCAGACAGAGGAGTAGTCTGGCGGCCTGTCAAGCTGATCTACCGTGCAATTCCAGCCACTCTTGGACTAGGGTCTGTCTTGGCAGATAGGACCACTGGGTCCTTTAGATTTCATTTTATCATAATTGGAGAGAAAATAGGTAGGGTTTCTTTCCCAAAGTAAATACATGCCTTGTCACTGGAGTAAATTGACTGCATGCAGTGACTAAACCTTGCCTGCCTGGAAGAGCAGGAAGAGTAGAGAAAGTTCAACTTTAAAATAGAAGGCATATGAGAGAACACCCTGTTGAGATGAGGCTCAGATCTCTCAGAGCTATTATTTCAGACTCTGTGAAAGCTTAAGCAGACATCTCTGCCCAGGTTACACTTAATTCATGTTTTCAAGACTGTTTTGCAACCACAGCAGCTTTTAATGAAAGATGGTGTTTTGGGAAAGGTATTGGTGTTCAAAACCACCTCTTGCTACTGCCTTGGTTTCAGCTTTTCCTTGGAAGGGAATCAAGGAAGAAGGAAAAACTGAAAGCAAAACCTCTAAATATGCAGAAAATTTATTAATTTAGTATATTCTGAAGCTGTGAGTGTAGTTTACTTTTCTTTACTGTTTGGTTTTCCATTCCAAGTTAGAGCCATGAAGCAACTGATACTTGGACTTTTCAGAATCAGCTGTTCTACACGTGATCCAGAAGACACAAAGCCTTTTTCTTTATGTTTTGCATAACATGAAAATGGCTGACCTCAACCTAAATTATTGCTAAAAGATTAGCATAGGAACTGATGTAAGAGGATTGGCAGGAGGTGGAGGACATGAACATTTGGTTTGTAGATAGGAGCAACTGAAAAACAGGTAACTTAGAGATGAAGATTCCAACTCAATCTTCCATTGTAGTTTACCAGTGGTAAGTATTCATTAGTCATCTTTTTACCAGTCTAATAATGTAGAGGAGCTTTAAAACTGATACAGATACTTACACAACTCAGCTGTTACGTACTGGCAGTAAAAGAGGTCTCATGTAAATTGAATTGGACCTACAAGCCTTAATTTTCTCCCAGATTTATTAGTGCTTTGGAGTAAAAGGCCGAATGAAAAAAATCTAAAAATCTACTTCCTCTGAATCGGATAAGAGGAGAATGGAAGTGCCATCAGGGCAGCTCCATCTCAAGGATCGTGGAATGGCCTACATTGGAAGGAACCTTGAGGATCATCTCGTTCCAAGTTCACTGCCATGGGCAGGGACACCTTCCCCTAGACCAGGTTGCTCCATCCAACCTGGCCTTGAGCACTTCCAGGGATGGGGGCATGCACAGCTTCTCTGCTCAGCCTGTGCCAGTGCCTCACCACCCTCAGAACAAATAATTTATTCATAATACTTAATCTAAACCTACTGTCTTTCATTTTGAAGCCATTCCCCCTAGCCCGTCACTACATGCTCCTGTAAAATGTCCCTGTCCATGATTTTTGTAGGCTCCTTTCAGGTACTGGAAGGCTGCAGTTTGGTCACTCCAAAGCCTTCTCTTCTCCAGGCTGGACAAACCCAATTCTCTCAGCCTTTGCTCACAGGAAAAGAGCCCCATCCCTCTGATCAACTGGGTGGCCCCTTCTGGACTCCAGCAGCACCTTGCACTTGGCCCTACTAAACTTCATGGGATTCCCAAACCTCATGAGATTTGTCATCAGTCCAGAAAACCACAGAGCATAGTTTCTAGTTTGCAACCAAGCTCAATATGGACACAACAAGAGATGTAGATGAAAAACACCAAGTAAAATGCCAAAACAAGCATCACATCCTTTCTGTTAGCAATTTGCCATTCTCTGCCAAATCAAAACCATGTGGGTTTGGGTCTATACAAGTGGTGCAAAGCAGGGTTAAAATCTCCAAAAGGGAGATGAGAAGCAGACAAAAAATGGCCACACATTTTGTCACTTGGAAATGGTAGAGCAAGGCAGAGAAGTTCCACAAGAAGAGAATTACTTTTTTTAAGTTGATACCACTACATTCACACATGTAGTCATTTTCTTT